AATTGCATGACTTAGCTTGATAGTTGTTTTATCTTTATCTACGTTCAGCTCAGAATATAACTCTTCAACAAGAAGTTTGTATGTCAAATCAGTCGGAGAAAAAAAGAATATCACTCCTTTGGCATCTTTAACTTTTCCATCTCATTCATATTCCCCACTCGAATTCAATGTCCACTTGCCACCAGACTTGTAATAAATAATCGTCATTCTTTCATCACTTGCATCCATTATGACTGTATAAAATAAACACAAAATGTGAGATATATGATGATCAGTTTGACGAGTATGACCAGTTTGCCGAGTATGACCAGTTTGACCAGTTTCGTCAATATGACCGGTTAGACGAGTTTGCCGATTCTGATTATTTCGAAGAGTTTGACCAGTTTGATATAGTTTAACTAATGTGACCAGTTTGACTAATGTGAATCATGATAATATTGATTCAACTCAATTAAGTCTACAAAATACGATATGCTATTGATATATATGTTCCATTTTACTCATTTATACCATATGGGTCGAATATAAACATGAAAACAACAAAACCCTTTCATAAAAAGAAAAACCCTAAATGCCCAAAGTATATAACGGAATTTAAAGAAGAATACTTACCTATACACGAGATCTATGCTTATTGGATGAGATTATTGGAGATTTCGCTTGTTTTTCTCAACAAATTTGGTGAGAATTTCACACTGTAGAGGAGGAGCTCGAAGAGAGAGAGAGAGAGCGTGATACAGGTGCAAAAAAACGGAAGAAAGGAGAGAGAGAGCGGGAGAGAGAGAGGTGGAGAGAGGAGAGAAAAATATTTTTATTTTATTATATTATATAAATTAATAAAGGGTATTATAGGGAAACTACATTTATAAGGTTATATTTGATGTTGTCTCTTTTCTTTTTTTTATGAAGGGTATCCATTGAAGTCTCATGTATCATTTAAGGGCATTTTTGCAATTGCCCCCAATGGGTCAACCAGATTTTCACGATCGCTCTCTCTAATCTCCAGTGCGTGTGTCCACCCTAACAGCTTTTTAGAACGGCGGAGAGAAACAATCTGGACCGTCAGATTTCAAGAGCTATTTAATCCGACGAACTAAACGAATCAGCACGATTTGATTGGATGGGAATACGATTTCATGGTGAGGCGTGCCATTGAGCAAAGGAATGCACGCCGTTTCTCTTATTTTGGCCCCGTCGTGTTGACGTTTTCTTGACATTGTCTTCGCCTTTTATTTCAGTTTTAGAAATGGAGAAAAAATAACAAATCGACAAAATTCTACTGACATATTCTCTGTTAAACGTGAAATAGAGGAAACTTCGATATCGTGAGGATGAAACTTCTTTAGATAGAGGAAACTTCGATTTCAAAATTGCCTGATGATTTGTGAAAAAAACATGAAGAGCATCAACATCGCCTCAGTTCCAAGTATATTTGGGATCGGCCGCATATATTTTTCGTTTCTACTCATTTCGGTTTTGCGTTAGCTCATTCGGAAAGCTATTAGCCGGAATACAGTTTTGAATTCTAAATTCAGCCTTTCCCTTTCTCTTCAACTACATTCCTATATTCTCCACTTTTCTAACCGACGTATCCATCGACCTACATTGTACATGTCCAAACCATCTTAAACGTCCATCTCTTAACTTCTCTTATATACCTATTACTCATATTTTCTCTCTAATAGTCTCATTCCTAATTATATCCATCATTGTGTGTCCGCGCATCCATCTCAATATCCTCATCTTGGTCACACTCATTTTAGACATATGTTATTCTTTCGCCACCCAACATTCGCTACCATACATCAACTATCCTGCGTTTATTGTGTGACTAATGATGTCTTAAATCTAGGTGAAGAAAAATCGATCAAGTGATAAATTCCTAAACACAATAAATATCGCAAGTGTACGGATCGTGTGTAATAGCTAGGGTCGAATACAGTGACAAAAGTAGACAAAAAAATCAAATCGAAATCTAAAGCAAGATCCAAGGAAAATAATATGAGTGTGTTGAACAGATTATTAAGAATAAAGCAAGTAACAAAAATCGATTGTAAACAATCAATAGGAAGAAACACTGCAGACTTCAGGATTACTTTACATGCAAGAGTCTTTCAAAAGATGTAGATTCTGTGGTTTCTAAATCCATTTCAGGGAATTCAAGCTCTAAAGAGATTAACTCTCTCGAGTATAACTTCACTATCCAGGTTTTATCCTATTAATCTCCCGATTCAATAATCTAAAGCCTGGATGCATGAACGAACGCTATCATAATCCCTAGACAAATATTCATCTCTTGATGCAATAACTATTCTATTTACCAAGTTATTTCCAAGTTATATGCGAATTAAAATCTTAAATTCATTCAATCAAGTGACCAACAAGATCAAACGCATTAAGAACAACTCAATAAACTAAATCAAATAAATAATACCACATAGTCTGGAATTAAAAACCAAAGATCCCTACATTGCAAATCCCTAACCTACAGCTATAGAACTACTCGCTAAACATCGGACGTCAGGGTTCATATCAATAATACAAAAAATCGTAAAATAGAAGGAAGGAAGAACACTTAGTCGATTTTCCGGCTTTGTGATCTCCGTCTTCTACTCCAATCCCTTGTCTCTTGATAATCGCCCCCTTTTCTCCTGCTCTTAGGTGTATTTTCTGCTAAAATTCGGAATGCCTTCGACCTACAAAGTTTACCCATTTTTCTTTTCTTTCGTCTTGGGCGAAATCAGAATGTTTCCAATTAGGGAAATTCTCAAAAAAAATCATCCAATTATGAGATAACTATCACATTCATCACGAACTTTTAAAATTTCCAAATTCATACTGGATTTGAAATTTTTCTCTAAAAAATCATTCGAAATTTAAATTTTAACAAAATCTTCATCGGAACAGAATTAATTTTGCCACGTAGGCAGAAAGCGCCTACATGGCGCCTACGTGGCATGTACGTGTTCGCCACGTAGAATACACGTGGCATTAATAATAAAAAATTAAAACAAAATTGGAAAAAATGTAAAACAAATGTGAAAAAAATATAAAAAAATGTAAATATTGTAAAAAATATAAAATTGTAAAACATTTTCAAAAAATGTAAAAATTATAAAAACTGTAAAAAATTGTAAAAAAAATGCAAAAAATTATAAAAATTGTAAAAATTGTAAAAAAATGTAAAATTGTAGAAAAATGTAAAACATTTTCATAAAATGTAAAAAATTGTAAAACAAATTGTAAAAAATTATAAATTTTAAATTTGTTTTTAAAAAAGGGAAATTTCCAAAAAACAATCATCCAATTACGAGATAACTATCAAATTCATCACGAACTTTATAATTTTATATTTGTTACAATTTTTACAATTTTTGGAAATGTTTTGCAATTTTACATTTTTTACAATTTTTATAATTTTTTGCAATATTTTTTAAAATTTTTATAATTTTTACATTTTTTACATTTTTTTCAATTTTTTTTTAATTTTTTTATTATTAACGCCACGTGTATCCTACGTGGCGAACACGTACATGGCACGTAGGCGCCATGTAGGCGCTTTCTGCCTATTTGGCAAAATTAATTCTGTTGCGATGAGGATTTTGGTAAAATTTAAATTTCGAATGATGTTTTAGAAAAAAAAATCAAATTCAGTATGAATTTAAAAATTTTAAAAGTTCGTGATGAATGAGATAGTTATCTCATAATTGGATGATTTTTTTGGGAATTTCCCTTCCAATTATGACTGACCAAACAATCATTTCTATATTAAATGAAACGATCGTTTCTACATGAAGTGAAATGATCGTTTCAAGTTTCTAAGCAATTTTCTGATTTTTGCGACTCAAAACGATCGTTTTGAGCTTCCCGAACCGATCATTTTGACTTTCTGAACAATTTCGGATATTAAAGTGGGTGAAATGATCGTTTCAGTCTGGGTGAAACAATCATTTTGGTTATCTAATCTTCTATTCTGGATTTCACTCTTTTTTCGTGTCCGTTGCGTTGTACCTGCAAATATTAATAACAAAGCAAAAACGAAGCTAAACACGCACTTAAACGTCTCATTTGATATAAAATCGAGTAAATATATCAGACGAATCATATGAAAATCCATGGTATATTGAGTGTTATCAACTAATATCTTCATTGCAACTCACATCCTTTTGAATCATATGAAAATCCATGGTATATTGACCCAAAATATTTAAAATGCGGATTTTGAGGAACTGATCCTCCTTGCAAACTAACTCTTACATCACCAGAACACCTCCCACTAAAATCGCAATGCATATTCTCGGTTTTCGTTCTACTAAGCCTAAAACTCTTAACCTCTAATGTACTACTCCATAACTGTAATTGACCATTTACTCATTCCCTAGACTCATCTACTAGCACGATGTCGTCTGCGAACATCATGCGCCACAGTACTTCTTTTTGTATATCTCTAATCAATTCGTCCATAACTAATGCGAAGAGGCGTGAGCTTATAGCGATAAGAGGTACGGGCTTATAGCGGACCCTTGGTGCAACCCTATCGAGGTGGAAAAATCTCGCATATCACCACATTCTGTTCGGACACTAGTGGTCGCACTTTCATACATATCATTCAACACTTGTATGTATCTCACTGATACCCCTCTACGCTCTAACACCCACCATAAAAGCTCTAATTGGTACTCGATCATAAGCTTTTTCGAGATCGATAAATACCATGTGCAAATCTTTCTTCATATCTCGAAACTTCTCCATCAAATTACGAATAAGAAAGATTGCTTCCATGGTACACCTTCCGAACATAAAACCAAATTGATTTACGGAAATAGATGTGGAGCGACGTTTATCCTTTCCCACAACTTCATGGTATGAATCATGAGTTTGATTCCTCTATAATTTGTGCAACTCTGGATATCTCCCTTATTTTTAAATATAGGGACTAAAGTGCTTCGTCTCCATTCATTTGACATCTTCTTCGATACTAGGATTTTATTAAACAACCTAGTAAGTCAAATTGTTCACACTTCTCCTAAGCACTTCTATATTTCGATAGGGATATCATCAGGATCACATGCTTTGCCTATTTTCATCTTCTTTAGTGAATCTCTCACCTCTACACATCTAATCCTCCTAGTATAACCCACATTTCTCTACCTAGTAATAGTCTCTAATTCTATGTGGTATGTATCCTACTTTCGTTATATAGATCATCAAAGTAACTTCTCTATCTCTCCTTGATGTCGTCATCTTTAACCAGAGTGTTACCTTCCTTTATCCTTAATACATCTGATGATGCTCAAGTCTTTAGTTCTCCTTTTTCTCGCTCTAGCTATCCTATATATATATCGTTTTCTCCTTCCTTTGTCCCGAGTCTCTCATACATCCTTTAAGAAACCTTTGTTCTTACTTGACTAACGAATTTCTTCGCCTCTTTCTTAGCCAACTTATATTGTTCATATGCCTCATTTGAATAACATTTAGGCAATTTCCTATACCACTCTCTCTTAGTCCTTAAAGCCTTTTGAACTTTTTCATTCCACCACCACTTCTCTTTTGTTGGTGGTCCATACCCTTTTGATTCTCCAAGTTACCTCTCTAACAATAATCTTAATGCTAGATGATATATCTAACCACATTTCATTGTCTTCCTTATTTTCGCTTGACACCTTCAATTTTAACATCTCCTTCTCGAGTAGCTCGCGCTTTTGACCTTGTAAATCTCACCACCTAATTCTAGGCATATCCTTCTTCTTGGACGGATAGCCTTTTTCGTGATCTTGATAAATCAGGATTTGACTTATAACCTTTTTAAAAAATGAATAAAAATCCTAATAAATGGTATTACCTCTAAAATTAACTTTCGGTATCAAAACTAATGTATATAAAATTAACATAAAATTCCCAAAAAATCGAAATTTTCTTAAGAAAATCTAATTTTTTTTAACAAAAACCGAAACCGAACTATACCGAAAATAAAATCGAACCGAACCGAACAATATATGGTACTAATTTGGTATAAATTTTAGAATACCGAATAAACCGTTCCCGAACCGAACCACTAAAATTCTGACCCGAATCCCGAAACGCTCACCCCTAATCGAAGTTATTGCTTACAGGTACAAGATTGGTCTTACTAGTTTTTCTTTGACGCTAAAGTATCTAGTGAACAATGGGACTAAAAACAATATTCATGAAAGAGTGAAGTTATATCATATTGTTATACGAGGAAGCTACCTTTAGCAATCTCATGGTATTTAAAAAGATTAAACGTGAAATCAACTTCACGAATCCGTAGGATCCATTAGGGTTGGGCATAAATATCCGAAAATCGGGTATCCGTCGGATACTCGTCCCACGGATACCCGATTTTAGGGTACTCGTAATTTTCAAATCCGAATTCAAATCCTGATTTTTCAATACCCGTGAATCCGAATCAAAATCCGGATAATAGAATTTTTAAAACCGGATATCCAACTATTATGATTATAAATAATTATATCTTATATTTATATAACATTTTTATAAAATATAATTATTTTAGATTAAATAATTTCATATTTTATAATATTAATTCAAAAAAATAAATTTATTATTATTTATCTCTTATTATATCTTTTGTCTCGTATATTTTATCATAATTCATCAATTTTTATAAATATATCTTCATTTTTTGAAAATTTTATATATGAATATTATTGTTTTTCTTAAATAAATCCTGATCCGGATATCCGCGAATACCCGACCATTATTCCAGATACCCGTATCCCGGATACTCGTAAATACCAAATACCGGATATAAATCTTATAATTAAATACCCGAGCCTCCCGGATACAAATTCAAATCTCTCGAATTTCCCGAGTATGCGACCCGTGCTCACTCCTAGATCTATGACAATCAGGCTTTGGTACATTCATGTCATATATTATGGCTTGGAAGCACTTCAAATATCATTTAGCTTACCAGCTATTTAAACACTTTTCTTTTACCTCTCAAAATCTCCTGCACGATCACTGGAACTTGGAATTTACTAGCTAAGGAAGCTGATCTAGAATGGGGGAAATAAGAGAATGAATTTACAAGAACAACTTAAGATATTAAAAAGCATGAAGTAAATTATTCACGTACCTGATCTATTCTATGAATGTCAATCCTTATCATATGCGCTCTTGACTTTAAAGCACATATATTGTTTAACAGGCACCTTGCTGCAGCCTGCACATCAGAAACAAGGGCCACTACACTAGTCTTAAACTCCCTGTGTTGCTAGGAATGAAAGCAAGTCCATCTCCGTATGACAAGAGAACCGATAAAATTATTCATGAACAAAAACAGTTACACAAAGCAGTAAACAACGAAGGACAGGTTAACATTGCAGCATATGCCTTGTTCAAATCCTGAGAATCCTCGAAAAACACACAAACAAAGAACATAGACGAGTTAAAAGACCTGTAAGAATAAAACCAAAAACTGAAATGAAAAGCCAAACCATGGCGACTAATATGCAACATATAAAAGCTCCGTGACAACAGGAGAGAAACAAGTAATCGGAAGACAAATCTTGAAAGTATCGAGATTAAAACGCTCCTTTCGGAAGGCTATAATAGCCAAAACCTGGGGACAGCTAGGGATAACAATCAGAAAAATCATAGGATACTAGCAAGAAACATGTTCACGAAGTCTAAAACTAACCTGGAACATTATAGCCAAGAAGATCCATGGTCGATGAAAACTTATGTAAAAGGAGGAAAATCTGATGCTCGACAAATCTGCTTTTACCTGTTTACTATTGAATTGCAGAAATGTATCAGTCCCAGAATTGCTCCAATGATAGTTCCAGAAATGCTTGTAAACTGAAACAAGAAGTGTGAAGCATATAAAATGTCTTTTGAACTGCCCCATACATCATATGAGAGAAAAGTACCTCCTCCCTAATAGACCTTACGACATCATTTGAATCTGCAGCTCTGCTAAGAACTTCCATGACCACAATGAAGGCTCTATATGTAGCAAAAAGACCTTTCTCATCTTCAATATCCTATAAAAAAAAGAGAGAGAGAGGAAAAAAACAAACAGTCCCTCCGAGAGAGGAAAAAGTTAAAAAGTAATATAGGTGATCATGGGAAACCATAACTACAATGTATCTATATACCATTAAGAAGAAAAATTATGGCAGACAGTCGTATTCTCACAAGGAAACCCTCACACTTAAATGGAAGGGCAATCATAGATACTGTTCCAGAAAAGAGGCATGATTCCAGTTTTCAGCATTGCAGCCATTTTTAAAGTATGAAAATCTCAATCCCATTCAAAACAAAGAAATGTAAAGAGGCTCTGGGATGAACATACTCCCCTATCTTTGAAGAAAAAGTTCCAGTTTCCCTCCACTCCTGCTATGTCTTTGAATATAATCAACACGATTGATGTATTTGAGTTCCATCTCTCTTATCAAGTTTTTGTTGCAAACAGTAGTTAGCCCTTCAACACAGACAAGAATGCAGACTGCTGACGATAGCAGTAAATCAAGAAAGCGAGATTTTTCATGCAAAAACTAACATCACGTTGTCCACAGAAATTATTATGGGTGTTAAAACAATCAACATATATTCCTAAACATAAGCATAAACAGACAGCACAACAAGGACAAATATTGCGTAGTAGTTTAAGGTACTAATCGGAATACTGTCTTGAATTCTGAATTTAGCCATGTTCCTTTGACTAGGCTTATAATCATGGACATGGCAAACCTTAGGCAACCAGATTGTGATGCTCCTAAAAATGTGCAGCTAATAACTTGCAATAAAATATTAAAATTGCCTGCAAAGTGGTGCAGAGAGCAGATACCGGCAAACAACTGCTCAAGCCTGTAAACATTCCAGCTAAGACGAGAAAAAAATGGGTTAGAATTCTAGACCACGAAGCTAACAGAAGATTGACATACAGATGGTCGTAGACAATCAGGATCTAATAATGTCACTTAAAATTTCCATAGCTGCTGATTGCGGTCTATTGCAGTTCCACCACCCTTCAATTCAGACAAGAAAGCATGCGGCTAACTATAACAGTAAATCAAGAAAATGAGATTTTACGAACATCAAGTGGTCGACAGAAACTATAATGGTAAATCAATAGTAAAGGTGCACATTCAATAATTAAAAAAAATCCAAAATTTGTTGCAGATTTGACAAAGGATAAGCAATAGAAGAAGGCATCATGCATAAACCAAAAAAAAAAAACTTTGAACGAATGAAAATGAAGAAACCCAGATCGTAAGTAACATTACCGATTCACAATCGAGCATAACTGGAATTCTGAAAAAAGTAAACATTCATACCAAGAGACAAAACCCAGCAAAAATGCAATTCGAGCACAAACAATTGTGAGAAAAGAGCTTACAAGTTTTGGAGACATTCGGATCTTGTAACACGGCGTCGATGTCCATGGTGCCTCCGGCGAGGCGAGTCCACTAGGCTTCAGTTTGCTCTCTTCAAAATGGCTCAATCTGTCCCAATTATCAATTTATCATACATTCATTCTTATACATTCATAAATGATACTTTACAGATTTTGAAGACACATCTACCACCGCTGTTGGGGTTCAGGTTCTGTGCCATACAGTATGCCTGTGTTCACATATTAAATCACACAAAAACCATGCCAGGAAAAACCAGGCATCAAGATAATTCATGCAAAACCAGATACAAAACTGACGTGTATACAACAAATTCCAGATTTTAGACAGTTAAGAATTATTTGAGGCTTTTTCATACTTGACAAAAAAGGTCTGAGAGTCTAAGGAGAAATCTATGTTTCACACACCATGAATAATCAACGTTGTGAAGGTTTTAGCAGATTTACCGCAAGGGATGTGTTTTTTCCTGTAAGATTGAACTTGTACACAATGCCATACTGATGCATGAAGAATCTCAAAATCAAGATGGTCTCCGAGATCCTCCCTCTTCGTGTTTGGATATGCATCAGTAAAGGAATACAGACAATCATAATCATAAATAAATAACAACAATAACACGTAATGGTGACAGAAAAACAAAAATGGAGAAGGAAAACCTGTCCTTCGTCCCACCAAGGCTCCCGACTGTTGTCTCCCTTTAACTCCAACTCGGCCTTTGTAAATAAGCCAACTGATCAAGTCATCAAAATTCTTGATAATTCACGATGTAATGCATGTGTAAGATATTCTAGCTAGGCATCTGTTCGCTTGATAGCATCCATTAACTAAAAATGTCAACTATGAAGAGAGCATTAGTCTTATTACTTACTTTTGCCATTCGAAACCAGAAGGCTTGAAAATATAGGGAGCAAACAGCCAGGAGATAACGAGGAACCAACTGCTGGTAGTTAGCTAAACACAGGAGACAACACCCCCATCTGTATATGCATAGGCAATGTAAACTACTAGCACCTGAGCAACTTCAGGCCTGCAAAAGAAATTATTCGAACATATCAATACCAAAACCAGAAAAGCATCCATATAATAATTGCCATTTTGATTAGAAGCTATCCTGCAGGATTATAAGCTTTAAATCAACAGAATAGATAAGGGCAAAAACCAGTCAGTGACTGACGATGGAGCTTATGCTTTGACACAATGACTTTTAAAGTCTGTAATTTTTCTGCAAACACGATGAGGCGAACCACAAAGCCTCAGCCAGTTGTGTGATGCTGTTGATGAAGTAAAGAACAAACACATATTTGGAAAAGTTCAAATACAAAATAATAATTTCTCGGCGGCGTGTAGGAGGATGAAAAGAAAAGCAAGCACACCTTTGCACCACTGAAATTGTGAAAAAGACAGAACACAACAGAAATTGCATAGAGATGAAGCTGAAAATAGCCTGCGTTTTCAGTCAAACTTTAGTATCAGAGAGTTAAGCTGAAGAGCCCGAAGACATTCAGAACAAATAAAATATTTTTTGGGTGGTCATGCACAGATTTTGGAACTAAAAGACTGAATATATAAGAAAGTAACCGAAGAAATTGAGCAAAGCAACAACATATGTCCATAAGAACGAGTGAACGACAGAAACAATCTTATAGCTAACCTTCAACGACATATGTCCAAAAGTTGTGCATTCAGCGCTGCATACAATGTCGTGTTACCTGATAGCCTGGCTACCCGTGCGATAGCACGATCAGCACCACGGAAAACCTGAAATAGACTATTCAACAACTAAAATATCTTGGAAAAAGTTTGTTGAAAGTACGATAACTATATCAGAGACTCTAAACAGAAAGCAGATAGCACAACAAGGAAAGTTATTGAATAGTAGTTTAAGCTATTAGCCGGAATACAGTTTTGAATTCTAAATTCAGCCATGTTCCTATGACTAGGTTTACAGTCATGGACAAGGCGACCCTTAAGCAACCAGACAGCTATGCTGCTAAAAACGTGCAGCTAATAACTTGCAATAAAATATTAAAATTGTCGGCTAAGTGGTGAAGAGAGCAGATACCAACAAACAACTGCCTAAGCCTGAAAGCATTCCAGCTATGAACTTGTTCCCCATTTCCATCTGCTATTTTCCTTCAAATAGGGCAATCTGATTTCGTCCTACATCTCTTCCCATACCAACCTCCATGAAAAAACATGATCCAGATCCCAAGGAGATAAAGGCTGAGGTAAAGAGACATCAAATGCAACCTTGTCCTCTATCTGGATACACCCGTGGTGGGTGACATTTCCCTGCCTGAGAGTGGAGTTAAATCCTACAAAATATTATTTCGTTACAACTTACAACTATTTCTCACAAAGGATACCATCTCTGAAGAAATTAAAATGTCGAGTAAAGTTCACATACAGATCATAGATGGAAACTATACCACGCCAAAGATGGAAGAGTATCAACAAGTTACAAACCAGAAGTCATCATAATTCCGCCATTGAGAATGTGCAGCTTTCCACAATTGTTTCGAGCAGCTTCCTACAAGAATCTGAATTTGTGAAACAACTTAGAGGCATGACATGACTACACATTGATAATTGTCACCAGGACTCCAAATCCACTGTAGAATATAGTCTACAGAAAATATGCTTCATATTCCACTCGACACCAGACATATTTTCAGACTCGAAGACGAAGAAGGAAAGCACACACAGAAGAAGCAACAAAATGGGTTAGAAACCTAGACCAGGAAGCTAACAGAAGATTTACATACATATGATCATACACAAATCAGGGTCTAATAATGTCACTTAAACTATCAAATTGAAAGATAATTTGTAGAGAGCAAAAAATCAGAGAAGCAGATATGTAACAATTTTAGTAGCAGGAACTGACCAGCACCACTGCTTTCAATAAAAAGTTAGCTTCAAGAAATATAGACAGAGATGGTTGCAGAATTGCTTCAATGATATTTCTCAAAAAGCGGCCATGAAATTTGAATCATTAGCCGATTTTAACCTCAGGTCTTTAATTAGTGTTAACTATGTGAGAGAAAAGTACCTCCTCCCTAATAGACCTTACCACATCATCTGGATCTGCAGCTCTGCTAAGAACTTCCAAGACCTCAACGCAGGCTCTCAATGTAGCGAAGACCTTTCTCATCTTTAATATCCTATAAAACATAGATACACAATGCAACAAACAACAAAGAACAGGTTTGCAATCTAAAGTAAATTGTTCCTGATATAATCTTCCTCCCTCAAGCTTTTGGTTATCTCATTCCAAAATGGGGGAAAAACACAAAATATGCCAAGTTCAACAACTAAAATACCTTGGAAAAAGCTTGTTGAAAGTACGATAACTATGTCGGAGACTCTAAACAGAAAAAGGAAAGATATTGAGTAGTAGTCGGAATACAGTTTTGAATTCTAAATTCAGCCATGTTCCTTTGACTAGGTTTACAGTCATGGACAAGGCGACCCTCAAGCAACCAGAATGCTATGCTCCTAAAAACGTGCAAGCTAATAACTTGCAATAAAATATTAAAATTGCTTGCGAAGTGGTGCAGAGAGAAGATACCAGCAAACAACTGCCCAAGCCTGAAAACATCACAGCATATGCCTAGTTCAAATCCCGAGAATCCTTGAAAAACACGCAAACAAAAAACATAGAAGAGTAAAAAAATCCTTTATGGATGAAACCACAAACTGAAATGAAAAGCCAAACCATGATGACTAATATGCAAAATATAAAAGCTCCAAGGCAACAGGAGAGAAATAAGTAAATCGGAAGACAAAGATGTACGCAACAGCTCCAAAAGGATACATCAGTGACAAAGAATTTTACTAACCTGAGAGGGATGTTGGTCAACGGGGGCGCCCAAAAAATATTACAATGGGGACTAGTTGGTGACAGAAGAAGCCAGTCTGTACTAAGCCAAACCTTTATAGAAAGATTCAAGCTACAAAATAAAATAAGCCACAATAAAACTCGTAACTGGGAAAAATCTTGTAAGTATCAACATTGGGACGCTCCTTCCGAAAGGTTATAATAGCCAAACCCTGTGGACAGGGAAGAACAATGGGAAAAATCATAGGACACTAGCAAGAAAAGTGTTCATAAAGACTAAAACTAACCTGGGATATTATAGCCAAGAAGATCCATAGTCGAAGAAAACATATGTATAAGTGGAAATGTTCGATGCTCGACAAAGCTGCTTTTACCCGTTTGCCACTGAATTGCATAGAAATGCAGTAGCAAAAGAAAAGATAGAGGCACATAAAAGTAACAGGAATACAAAAGATGCAATGACAGTTTGATGGTGAAAAATAAATATGACAAAAGAATCAATCTCCAAGTAAAATGTGGAAGCTAATGATGACAATTTCTATGTCCTTTCAAGGCAATCATATTTCGAAGAGAACCTATACTCGCCACATAAACATAACGGAAAAACCTGTTAATTTCATTCAGGCAATTCTTCCCTTATCAAATTTAAGTTGAAATGAAAACAATCCCCAAAAATTAGGAGATTTTAATGCCTACGACTTGACAGGGCCAATGAGGCACAACTCGTACATGTCAATATAACTCAAATTTTTACCAGGCAATTTTGGCAACTCAACCTGAAAACATATTTGAGGACAATGGGTAAAACAACAATAAGTGAGCAATGAAAGACAATGGGCACGAAATTGGAAGATGATTGGAACCAAAGGGTCACAGATTAATGTCCACTCTATCAGCAGGCCAAACCTAAAAGCAAGTCCATAAGAATGCGTCATAAGTCACAAACCAGAAAAGTCTCATAATCCCACCATTGCTTTTCCACTATTGTTTCGAGCAGCTTCCTACAGAATCTGGACTTCAGAAACAGGTTAGAGACATGGCATGACTTTACATTGATAATTGTCACCAGAAGGACATCAAATCTACTGTAGAATATAGTATACAGAAAATATGCTTCATATTCAGACTCGAAGGCGATGGAGGAAAGCACACACAGAAGAAGTGAACGAAATGAGTTAGAAAAACCTAGACCAGGAAGCTAACAGAAGATTTACATGCATATGATCATAGACAAATCAGGGTCTAACAATGTCACTTAAACTATCGAAAGCTAATTTGTAAAGAGTGAAAAATCAGAGATGCAGATATGTGACTATTTAGCACATGGAACTGACCTGCGCCATTGCTTTCAATGCAAAGATAGCTTCAAGAAATATAGACAGAGATGTGTCGGTGCCAGAATTGCTTCAATGATATTTCTCAAAAAGCAGCCAGTCAATTCCAATCACAAGCCAATTTTAACCTAAGTGGTTAATTAGCGTTAATTATATGCTATTAAATCTTGAATACTGAAACAAGAGTGTGAAGCATATAAAATGTCTTTCGAACTGCCCATGCGTCATGTGAATGGAAAGTACCTCCTCCCTAATAGACCTTATGAAAACATCTGGATCTGCAGGTCTGCCAAGAACTTCCAAGACCTCAAATGAAGGCTCTCAATGTAACAAAGACCTTTCTCATCTTCAATATCCTATAAAGAGAGAGGAAGAAAACCAGAAAGTCAACTGAAGAGAGGAAAAAGTCAATTAATATAAGTGATCAAAGGAAACCATCTAGATACCCTTAAGAAGAAAAAGACATGCATGCAGACAGACCTATTCTACACCAAGAAACCGTCACTTAAATGAAGGGCATTCATATATATAAAGAGGCATGATTCCAGTTTTCAGAATTTTTGCCAATTTTAAAGTATGAATGTTTCAATCCCATTCAAAGCGGAAAAAACGAATATAGCTATAGCTCTTGGATAAGCATAGTCACCAACTGTTTGAAGAAAAAAATCCAGATTCCCTCCACCTCTGCTCTTCTCATTGAATATAATCAATTCGATGTCGCCTTTTATAGAGTTGGAAAAATTCCCATAGTCCTTGATTATCACGATTGATTTATATTTGAGTTACATCTCTCTTAGCAAGTTTTTGATGCAAACAGTAGTTAGCCCTTCAACACAGACAAGAATATAGACTCCTGACTATAACAGTAAATCAAGAAAGCAAGATTTTTCAAGCAAAAACTAACATTTAGTTCTCCGCAGAAATTATTCTTGGTGTTAAAAGAATCCAATATTTATTCCTAAACATAAGCATGGGACACATTTGCAAACTATATGCAATGACATATCCCAATCAAGATCACATAAAATTACCTTAACCACAGACATCAAACCAGTTTTGAATTGAAGGACACCACCAACATCGCTGTTGGAGCCCTGGTTTTGTGCCACAGAGACAGAGTACACTTGTTCACATACTAAATCAATGAAGAGAGAGAAAGAACTTGCCTAGTAAAGGTAGTGTACAGGTGCAAATCCATAATAATAAAAAAAATCCAGAACTTATTGCCATCAATCAGCCTTTTTGGTTCGCCACAGCTGAAATCAATACCATCAGACATCAACCAGCTCATACGAGGAAATTATATGATAGAACTAGTTTCATGTTCAGATATATGGATTGATAGCTTCAAGAAATATAGACAGAGTTAGCTCACGAAATATAGACAGATGTGTTAGTCCCAGAATTGCTTCAATGATAGTTCCAGAATTGCTTGTAAACTGAAACAAGAAGTGTGTGAAGCATATAAAATGTCTTTTGAAATGTCCCATGCAAAATAGAAAAGTACCTCCTCCCTAATAGACCTTACGACATCATTTGGATCTGCAGCTCTGCTAAGAACTTCCATGACCACAATGAAGGCTCTCAATGTAGCAAAAAGACCTTTCTCATCTTCAATATCCTATTAAAAAAAAAGGAAAAAACAAACAGTCCTCCGAGAGAGGAAAAGGTTAAACAGTAATATAGGTGATCACAGGAAACCATAACTACAATGTATCTAGGTACCCTTAAGAAGAAAAATTATGGCAGACAGTCGTATTCTCACAAGGAAACCCTCACTTAAATGGAAGGGCATTCATAGATACCGTTCCAGAAAAGAGGCATGGTTCCAGTTTTCAGCATTGCAGCCATTTTTAAAATATGAAAATCCAATCCCATTCAAAACAAAGAAATGTATAGAGGCTTTGGGATGAACATACTCCCCTACGTTTGAAGAAAAAGTTCCAGATTCCCTCCGCTCCTGCTCTTGTCTTTGAATATAATCAACTCGATGTCGCCTTTTATGAAGTTGGTAAAAGTTTTCTTAGCCCCTGAATATCACGATTGATGAATATTTGAGTTCCATCTCTCTGAGCAAGTTTTTGTTGCAAAAGTAGTTAGCCCTTCAACACAGACAAGGATGCAGACTGCTGACGATAACAGTCAATCAAGAAAGCAAGATTTTTCATGTAAAAACTAACATCACGTTGTCTGAGAAATTTTTGGTTTAAGTTGTCTGCAGAAATTATTCTTGGTGTTTAAAGAATCCAATATATATTCCTAACATAAGCATGGAAACATATATGCAAACTATATGCAAAAACTTATACCAATCAAGATCACAGAAAAGCACCTTAATCAAAGACGTCAAACCAGTTTTGAATTGAAGGACACCTCTACCATCACTGTTGAAGCCCAGGTTTTGTGCCATAGAATACGCTTGTTCACATACTAAATCAATGAAGGGAGAGAAAGAACTTGCCTATGTAAAGGAAGATATTCAACAGGGTAGTGTACAGGTGCATATCCATAATTAAAAAAAAAATTCCAAAACTCCTTGCCATCATCAGCCTTTTTGATTCGCCGTAGATGAAATCAATACAATACCATCAATCATTAACCATCCCATACGAGGAAGTTATATAAAAGAACTGGCTTTATGTTCAGATACATGGATTGATAGCTTCAAGAAATATAGACAGAGATGTGTCAATTCCCCCTCTTAGTGTTTGGATATGCATGGGAAAAGGAACATGGACAATCATGATCATAAATAAATACCAATAACAACAAAAAAAATGGTGACAGAAAAACAGAAATGGAGAAGGGAAACCTGCCCTTCATCCCACCAAGACTCCCAACTATTGTCTCCCTTCACTCCAACTAGACCTTTGTACATAAGCCACTTGATCCAGTCATCAAATTTCTCGACAGTCCACCATGTAATCGAAGAAATTGATCAAAGCAAAAGGATATGTCCACAAGAACAACAGAAACAATTGAGTAACTAACCTTCAACAGCATAAGTCCAAAAATTGTGGATTTAGCATCCACCGTCGTGTTACCTGATAGCCTCGTTATCCGTGCGATTGCACCACCAGCGCCAGAGAAAAGCTTATTGAAAGCACCTTGACTATGTCAAAGACACTAAACAGCAAACAGACAGCACAACAAGGACAGATATTGTGTAGTAGTTTAAGGTGCAAACAGTCAGCGAGAATTTAGGAACATCAAGTCGTCGGCAGAAACTGCAACAGTAAATCAAGAAACCAAGAATTGAATAGTAAAGTGAATACGCAGTAATTAAAAAAAATCCAAAATTTGTTGCAGATTTGACAAAGAATAAGCAATAGAAGAAGGCATCATGCAGCATAAAACCAAAAAAACTTTGAACGAGTGAAAAAGAAGAAACCCGGAAGGTAAGCACCATTACCGAATCACCATGAGCATAACAATCGAAGCCTGAAAAAATTCGCGTCGATGTCGGACTGAATTGCAATTGTATCGGAGACGGCGTCGATGTCGGTGGAGACATTTGGATACTCGGACTGAAAAACCCAGAAAAATTCGCACCGGAGACAAAACCCAGCAAAACTTGTAAGACGGCGTCGATGTCGGTGGCGCTCCGGCGACTCCGCTAGGCTTCGGTTTGCTCTCTCTTCACACTTCAAATTGTCTCGATCTGTCCCCGTTATCATACATTCATTCTTATACATTCATAAAAAAGGGAGCCTTATTGAAATTACTTATTTTGCCCCCATTTTAGCCGTTGAGTGAGGGCAAATTGGTCAGAATGTGTGTATATAGAAATATAGAATATAGTATATTGATGTTCAACAGATTTCAATACATACACATGGCAAACTCTAGTATATATTTTTATATTTCATATTTAAAAAACATTTCTTATATGCAAACAAATGGTTATATATATGATTAATTTTCTATAAAAACAGATGATATTAAAAAATTTACTTAGACTGATTCTAACATTTAGGTTGAGTTGAGATTTAGTACCTACAGATATATATATTTTTTTTAATATCGAAGTTCATTTTTTAAATCAAACCTCTAGTTTTATTCAAGATTTTTATCTTAATATAAAAAAATTAATTTTGAAAAATTAACCATTTAAATTTTATTTCTTAAAAAAATAAAATGACAAAAGAATCAACCTCCTGATAAAAACATAACGGTAATTTCTTTGTCCCTCTTGTACTTGCCACAAAAACATAACGGTAAAAACACACGTTTGTTTCATTCATCTAACTAATTTAAATTACTTGACATAACCAATCAGCCACAACTCTTACATGTCAATATATGTAAAACTCGAATTTTAATTTAAAAGAGGGAACTTAATAACCTGAAAGCATATTCGAATATAACCGGCAAAAGAGAAGAGAGCAATCAAAGATAAATTGACACCAATTTGGTTATGAATTGGAACCAAAGGGTCACATATTATTGCCCAATTTGTCAAACTTGGAAACAAAATACATTTATTTGTATAACAGAAACAAAATACATAATAAAAAAATATGTCAAAACAGAATAACAAAATAACAGAATCAACCGGTGAATCAATATGGTGTAATGTAATATTTTAACAGATAATGTTCAAAATACTATAGTTAAAATCATTCATCATCCAAGATTGGATAACTCAACGGGTAAAGATGGAATAAAACTCCTTTTCAATCTAGGTTTGAGTGTCCATCTGAGGAGAGACATTCATTTAGATTTTTTTAATCCTATCTGAGAGATGTCGTTGGGTCAAAAATTCGATAAACTTTCAGATTATCCAAAACAAATCATTACCATCAAACATCAATCGATGTTATATTTAGATTCATACATTGAAGGTTTCAATAAATTTAAATAAAAACGGTATCGGTTTCTAAATTGATATTTCTTTAGATTTCGTTAGAGGTGTCAAAAAACTTCGAGACCCAATACCCAGCCCGAACCCGCCCATAAAATTTACGGGCTTGAACTTCACGAATCAAGGTCCATTCGTTCTTCGGGTCGGGCCAGCCCGATTAAAATATAAATTATACATAAAGATATATGTATATAGATAAATATATATACACACATATATATATTCACACATATTTAATCATATATATATATTTATTCAATCTTATATATATAATGTATATATATATATAATATAAAAATACTATATAATATAGAGAATTGTAAAAAAACTAAAAACTTGTTGGATACTAAATAATTTAGGATTCTTAGATGATATAATAAAAAAGTATAATACTATTAGTTTCAAATAATTATTCCAATAAAAAAATATAATAATTTAATATTTTTACAAATTTATTACAATATAAAATTAAAGAATTAAAATTTTTATTTATATTAAATCAAAATATATAATTTTGTTATCTATTTTTTTTTATCTTTTTATTATCACGAAATGTATTAACTTTTTTATATTTTAATTATTTTAATTTGTTTATAATATTTTTTGTATTTTATTTTTTGAAATTTTCAAACCCGAATCATGGTCCGAACCCAAAAAAACCCATAGGATCGGGCTCCGGACCAAAGATTTTAGACATGTTCGCATTTCGGGCCGGGCCGGCCCATAGATATTCGGGTTCGGGGCCGGCCGGCCCGGTCATTTTGACATCCCTAGATTTCGCAGCATAAAAACTACTTCTAGGGGATTGTTGGAAACTCACATTCAACAAACAAATGCTTTCCATATCAAGGCAGCAATCTCGGGAGATTGGAATTTCTATAGCAACCATTCCATCGACTCGGGTGGCAGAATTTGGGTAGTATGGCATCCCTCTATCATGGATACCATATGCCAAACTTCCGCACATGCAGTTACATATAGCATCCGAAATCTAGGGCTGAAAATAAATTTCACGGCTACATTTGTGTAAACAAAGAACAGTGCGGTACCCACCATTGACAACGTCACCATGGATAGGGTTGGATTGTTTGATATGTGTAAAGGGGTCAAAGATGATTTCATATTTAAAAGAAAATAAATCGTGTATTTTTTTTATATAAATATTGCCTCCTTATGACTACTACTGCAAATTTCTTTCATGTTTCTGAAAATATATAAGAACAAAATCTACAAGGAAATAACAATCCGTTCCATTTTGTCAAATAACGCTCCGCAATTAAATAAAGTAAAGTAAAATTGTAATAATAGTAAATAATAGAGGGCCACCACTGTCCAAAGAGAGCATATGCCCAAACACTAATAGAATATATACAGCAAACTGAAAGGACTTTGACAAAAAGACAGAACTCCACTATCCCTCCACCTCCTTTTGCCCTTTCCCACTAAACCACTTGATTGGGTTCTGTCTATGTCATGAGTTGGCTCTCTCTACCTTGTGACAATGACCCTTCACTTGTTACCAATAATTTCCCCAATAAACACACAATTTATTCAGCATTTTTATTAAAAATCGTAAGAATAAATCCAATCACCTAACCTACTCGCATTGGTTTACCACTGGCCACAGAGGACGGTTGAGGAGGAGGTGAGTTGGGTTATGCATCGGCCAGGGGACGGCGACTTCTAGGCGTTGGGACGACGACTCGGCCGTTCTTTATCAAGCTCTGCCGATCTTTTATCGTCCTGTCGAAAAATCTGCTCTCTGGATTCTCTGCATAGCATACGTAGTAGCAACTTACGCAGGCATGCGGCAGTGCCATTGAGATCCTCGTCTGCGACAATGAGATCAAAGGGTGGAAAGAACAAGAAAAAAAGATGGGTTATCTCACATTCCAACAACAAAAACAAATACAAAGGTTATGGTTTAGATCTTGATTTCCGACATCAAATCATAATGAGCTATCCAAAGCCAAGAAAGGTTGCCCGAACACGAAACAGAAGAAACTGAACATTGACAAGAAAGACTAGAATAAAAACTCGGTTAAAGAAACCTCGGTTCCCGGTTACGATTATAACCGAACCATAGTATATAACTACCGGTTTATCATGCACATTATAATTTCAACACATTCATGCCTCTTCAAAACCCACATCCTAAAACTCTAAACTAAATCATTTTTTCTACATTTCGGTTTTCCACTAACCGGTTAGAGATATCCACAAATATCCGAAAGACTTAAAAAAAGATACCGAAGAATCTTGAACACATCCAACCAGAGCAGATCAAATCATTAAATATCCGAGTTTCCCTACGCCTTTTTCTTCGTCCCTACCAGCCTTTCCCAAAGCGGGAAAAGGGACCTACCATCTATAGTTAACACCAACCAAGACCCTTTTATCCAAACACTTGATCAAAAAAGAAAAAGGTTTTTGAAGAGGTAATAGAGATTGTTACCATAAGGTATCCGATGAAGAAGGTGAGTAGGGAGATTGTGGCAGTGAAGGACTGGTGAACTTTGAATGTCCAAGCGGCAGCGACGATGACGCAAACGCAGCCGCTACAGACACCCGTCAGGAAGCAGACGGCGCTCGTTATGTCCGAGTCGATAATGGCGACCATGTCCTGTTCCTCGAACAGCCTCCATGTGTCCTGAGATGCCCTCACGAACCCCTTCCCGTACGTCGCTATCTGCACAAAGAGGAAACTGAAAACTGTAATTCCTTTCTATTTCTAGTGTTTTCATACGTAAAAAGAAGTTAGGTATTTCCCTGTTTACCCATATGATGAATAAACAAAGAAAGGGTTGGATATTTTTTTTCCGTATTTTTAAAATGCTGGAATATTCTTGGTTCTTGAAAGTGGTTAAGTAATATAAAAAAAACCCAAGTGTGTTTCAAAACAAATAAGAAAACTCAGACAGGCATGTGGTTGTGCCTTGGCCAGACAGGATGATCCAAGATTCTCATGATCGACCAAATCAAAGGACCACCAGTAAGATTTATAAAAGAATATTATTTCAGAATGATTCCTGCATAATCATTCAGAAACCGAGGAGATCATGTAAGAAAAAAGATTTAAAAAGAAGAAGAAAGAAACAATTGCTTGGAAGCAGCAGCTTAGTACGTCACACTGGGAAGAAGTCTCATAATCTGTGATTTCGACATGGTTTTTAGACTTTCAACGTTCATAATTTCCATCCCCCATAGCTTCAATACCACAAATCGTTCAAGATACTAAATCCACGGATAAAAAAGAACGAAACTTGAACAAGTTAGATGACTTGAAGAAAAGGGTTGTAATTTACCTGCACAAAGGCCCAGCCATTGCCGTGCTCGAAGATGAAGTCCATGATTTTCAGACAGCAGTGAGCGCAGCAGAACATGAACTCGTCTTCCCCTCTGAGTAGATTCAGTCCCCGAGCCACAATCCTCAAGGCTTCGATCGTGGGCACGAACAGAGACCCCAAGCAAGCGCTTCCAAGGTTACGGGTCAATGCTCTTTGGAAACTAAACTGAGTACTAGACTGCATTCCCCTCAGATAATAGAGAGCAATGATGCGGCTAACGGTTAAGTTAACCACATTCCTCATCACTTCCGTAGTCCAAGCCAAGCTCAAAACCAAAGCTATGATTACCAGTGGCGGTGGTAAGTAAAAGTTCAAGGCACCGATGACAGCAAAAATCCAAAGAGACATCCAGAGGAAACCGGCACCGAGCATGTAGTAAGTGGATATGTTCAGATCCGAGAACTTGGAGACGGGTTCTAACGATTTAACCAATATCTTGGAACAGAACTTGATTCTGCGATGGGCCCAACAAGCATATAAGCCGTTACCAATGGAGAAGGCGATGAGGCATACCCCGACAGCATCGGTGGTAGGTTTCTCGAAGCAGAGCAAGAGGATTCCGGAGGAAAGAGACGTCAGAAATGTGCTCCAGAGTATGAAATGGATCATGAAATTAGGCCAAATCCGAAAGGACATTTGCCAGATGATTGAGAGTACGACGCTCAAAAGAGAAGCTGCTTCAACTTGTGGAAGCATATACTTGAGAATTGCTCGTTCTTTCCTTTTGATTCGATCGTTGGCTCCAATCAAACCTCGAATTCCTTTGTACACAAGGAAGCCGACCAATGCAATAGCCGCAATCTTGTGAAGCATGAAGAGAAACAGAAACGTCTTGTTTGTGTACTTTGTTGCATTCAGGGATGCTAAGGATTGCTGCAACAACAGGAAAAAACCCAAAAAAAGAAAGTTCATGAATGAGAAATCCTTCAAGTTAAACGACTAATTCGACAAAATTAAAACAAACCCACCAAAATTTAAGTTCATAGTATCAACAATCTTCTGAAAAACTACAAGTTGCTGCTATAAAAATCCCAACTTTTTCCTGTAAAACTCCGGAGCGATCAAGGTAAAAGAGAAAGAGTGATAACCACGAAAAAAACAGCTCCAAAAAGAATCCCAGCTGTTCCCCAAAAGCCCCAAAAATCAAATAGATTCCAACCATTCAGCTATTATGATGTTGCAGGAAATTACCTGCGGAGTTGGCGTAGCGCGAGAACGAGACTGATGAAGAAGCGAAGACGGCTGCTGCTGAGGCGGCGGCGCCTCCCTCGACGAAGCGTGGAGCGGCGGAGCCATACTCGGAGACGGCGAAGCAAATCTCGAGCCACCACCGCCATTGACGATTATTCTCAGAGGGTTTGTCGGATTCAATCTGTTCAAGCTTGCGACAAATTGTTGATGATGATGACTGATTTCATCTTTCTCCGCCGCTTCTCCTTTTTCCGCATCTTTCAGTTCTTCTTCATCCTTATACTTTGTTTCTTTGCCCTCGTCATTTTCTCTCTCTAACTTCTTTCCTCCGCATTCTCTCCCCTCCACCTCCTGAACAAAAACCCAGAAGAAAAAAGACGATCTTTAACAAGAATATTCAGCACAAAAGGTTTTAAAAAAGGAAGCTGAAAAAAGTTTTTCCGTTCGGAAATGAAGGAAAAAAATATAGTTTTCCAAGGAATAATCTATAAATATCTTACAGGGTCAGTGGCTCCCATGTCGGCGTTCGTGACTTTACTTTCCGGCGGCGGCGGTGGTGGCGGCGGCGGTTCTGTCGCCGGGAATGTTGTTGTTGTGCCGTTTTGGTTCTGTGGGATATTATTTGGTTTTACGTTATTTGTTGTTGGTGGTATTGATGATGTTAATGGCTTTTTCACTTTTATTATTTTATTTCTGAATTGAATATTCTTTCTTTTTTTTTTTTGGGTCGTTGCCATCAGTAGCGCTCTGACCCTCGT